CCTTTAACTTCCTCTGTTATCACATTTTATCATATATATATATATAAAGCAGTAAGACACAAGCCAGTTCCAATAGAAATCGAAAATCCAAATATATTCAAAAGTTTACCGACCCGATTCAGTAAATATTTCTGCTATAAATATATAAAAATCAGAATTGTGTATCCTGACAGTTATTAAAAGGTCGGCGTACTTATAACAAAAATTTTCCAGCTTATATTAATTTATGTTTACTTAGGTATTCTCTGATTACACTTTACTTGTGTGAAATATTTACCTAATTGGATTTATTTCGGGTCAGTTAACTTGTGGATAGATTGCCTTCACTTGGATTTTTGGTTCCTATTGGCACTAGCTTGTGTTTTACTTCCTGATCCCTTCTTTTTCAAGCTTCATATCCCCTAGGGCTATAATGCACTCCGATTGATACGTACTTAACATTCAGATAGCATGGCCAGCACAGTTTAGATCATTTATATAATTAACTTAAAGAAAGGATCTTCACATAAATAGCGCACTAAACCCATTTTAACTATGAAAGTAAACACTGGCTAGAGAAATATAGATAATCGGTAAGCGCACATCCATAAGTTTTAACTAAACATTTATAAGACGAGAAGGTAAATCTCAAACCCGTCACTAGGATTTTGAATTAAGCTGACGGAATAACTAATATTCACATTACCCACATTAAAATCTGTATAAAGCTCAACAATGTTTATCAAAAAGGTTTCTTTCTGCCGTTTTTAACTCGTATAGGTCTCACTGCTACTCCTAAAGAGATTTGAAATCAGGTAGTGTGCGTAAAATCGCCAATTCTTTTTTGTTTAATACGCCCTGCTGGGTTAAGGGTGCCATTGTAAAGAGTAGGACGTGTCAAGGCTAAGTTAACTTCAATATCATTGTAACTTCCTTTAGTCATCTAACTATTGAAAACACTAATATAAGTATAATTGAGCAGGCGGATTTTTATTAATCAGATATTTTCTAAAAATGTCGGGCAAAATTAGCATGCCACAGCACCCCAATCAGCACAATTTCATCGTAGGACATCGAAAGTTTTTGTTAGTTATATTTGATTATCCTTTAAATATGAGCATGGAATTCTCCTCGCCGATGCCTTGATGTGTGCTCATGTGGTAGTAGCAATGAGCCCTCTGATACAACCTTTCTATTAAACCGTCCTTTCAATTCCTTTTCCTCTTAATCCTGCGCGTCATTGAGGCAACTCTCCAAAGTCCTGCGTTGATTCTCCAAACTCAATAACCTCGCCATTTTTCTTATCTCTTTCTACATATAATCCAAGAACGTTGAGCATAGGACCACTTATTTTATCCATTCCCGCTCCAGCCCATTTAATTCCCGAACCAATAGCCTCTTTCAAGTATTCTGTTTGCTTCCCCCCAAGACAAGCTTCTGCATCGTCACAGACTAGGATGTGACACCTCCATCATCCCTATTTACCTTAGTACACATGATTGAATAACTATCTGGCCGATCTTAAATAAATACTTCGACAACTTGATAAGTTCTTCGTTCTGACGAATTCTACCCCCACGCACCAAATCGGGAAACATCGTACTGGAGTCTCGCTTCGACTCACTAATCTCCTCCAAGTGACTTTCCTTCCGCTTCTTTAGGAACCTATCGATAAAAAGTAATTTATTTTCTGTTTGCTCAGCAAATATCAAATAACCTTATCAAGATTAAATCAACTTATGATACTATCTGGAATTTATTAATAGTCCAGACTCTTTATGATACTTAGAAGAGACATAGCAATATAAGTAGAAAATTGTCTTGCTTTACTTGCTATAACTTATTCAAGGAATTTCTTAATTTTCAGCGTTTTCTCCCTCAGCAAAGAGATATCTCGGGTACGGATCTATCTCCAGATACTGTCACTGTAGAGTTGCTGCAAATAGCTTCCCCTACATCTTCCATGACAACACAGCCATCACTTACCCATAAAAAGAGAATGGCTCGAACGGGTCCACTCCGGTTGGAGGACAGAATAATGGTAGATATGAGGACTGGACGAGTTTTAGTTGATGGGACGCCGCTCTCTTCCCTCGTCCCAGGAATACAACCGTCTGGACGAACGACGTCAAACTCTTACTGTGTTAGAAGCACTCGGGTAAGGCTGATGGATTAACTTTGTTCTTGCAATAGAAGGTACTCAATCAATAAAGTAACAGTACCACAAAAATAAGATGCAGCAATCATACAATGTGATCATGACTAACAATTCCTAAATGATTGCCTTTATTGCATTTTAGGTCTGTCGCCCAGCTAACGCATGGTCACAAAAAAATCAAAACACCCAGCGTCCTGTGGCCTCACGACGTCGCATGGACGGTGTATTTTTTCATATAAGAGATGCACTCATTTGAACATCAAAATATCACTAAGATGCAGCAAACCCGATTTTATGTAGTCTGACTATTATCAATATAGCAACTCATAAATAAAACTTTGAATACGAATTCCATCTAAAGACTTAAGCAAAAGGGGATTAGAGAATTATACGGTAAAAAAATGCCTTCATCATTATAATGATAAACGATATTCTATGGGGAAAGTCGTAATTAAATTAAGTCACTTTTCCTATGAGAACTCAATATGTAAATTATTGTATTTCTATTTGAATAAGAATCGTATGTGACGGGTCTGAATACGTTCACTGTAGACTAGGCAATTTAACCAACAAAAATTAGTTATCCAATTCCATTTCAAATTCAGGAATAACATCACGGAAGAGTTTCTGGACAATAAATCAGAGTAAAATGAGCATACCCCTTTGTTCCTCTTATGAAAGACCCAATCAGTAGCAACGTGAAAAGACCTCTCGAAGACAAATGTCATAAGCATTGCAGCGAAGAACATCCGGGGAGTTCGCTTAAGAATGTTTCTATAAACCCATTCCTTCGGCCCGAAACTCTGGTGGGCTCTGACACCATTCGGAGATCTAAGAGTAGGGGGGCCAAACATTGACGACGAAAGGAATGAGCGCCTACAAATTTATGCGACAAAACAAAATATGTACCTTGCGAACTATATAAGCATGCATAAATTGTTAATTTGTTTTGCTAAAAATAATTTATCAAAGTATACTTGGAGAATTGTTAGATAACCTTTGAATTACTATGTACTAGTCAAAAATAGTGGATCGAGATATATCAGTTATTTTAGACAAATTGTTGACGATCCACTTATGGACTTCTTTACTAACTTTGAGTAAAATATTGAGATGATTTGTGAGTATAATTTCTTTAGATTGTTACAACTCTACGTATCACACATTTGTAGCTAGATTAGGTAAAACTATTCAATCTCCAACAAAATGGCCAATTGCTTCGCAGTTCCTGGCACCCTTTTAGAGTAGAGCCGTTGGATATTTTAGATTTCTTATAAATAAGTGAGAATGGGCGCGAATAAACTTTATATTAATGTCTATATGGAGTCTTGGCAAATTAACTATGCTAGAGACAAATACACAAGTTCTGTGGAAAAGAAGCCAAGTATAACATGACCTGTAGAAATTTATTTATTGATAGCACAGTTG